AACTCATATTTGCAGCAACTTCACAGCATCAGATTACCTACATTCGCATGAACTACAGAATAACAAATTAAGCAAGCCTGAACCATTGATCAGTTACTGTACAGGTTCAACCCCACCCGAAACAATGAAGACAAAAAATCAAATGAAAGTTGGGCTTTACCTCCGTCATCTCCGTCCATGTTTAGTCTCATTACAGGTCGAAAACGATATCTCGACCAAGTGGCTGAATTGAAGTTCATTCCAGCTGGGGCGATTTTAGGGCTCCAGTAGGTTACTGCGTCGCCTTGGGGAGTCGATTTGGGGGAGGGAGCTGAGGGAAAATAGGTCTAGGGCGTGTTTCGATTTGGGGGAGGGTGATGAAGGAACGATTAATTGGGCAGAAATAGCGTTTTTACAGACCGAAATCGCGTCCTACGTGGGCGAATTTGACGCCGTGACTGCCATGTCGGCGAACGTGAGGCCACGTCGGACGGCTTGAAAGGACGAGGATGGTGGGTGATGGATGGAGGAGCTGGTTTGCAAGTTCAGTGGCCGGTGGGAGTGAAAGTGAAGTTTAGTTATCAGAACACGTTGAAGTTGCAAGTTGAGTGACCAATGAAAGTTTTTACTCAAATAATTGCTTATAAATAAGCTTACTTTCTCACTTTCTCTATTATTATTTGAGTAAAATTATTAGTAGTATGTGTTTTAGAAATTCATATTAGGGTTAATTACGCTGGAGGTCCGTTAACCTTACCCTAGTTGCAATCGACCTATTTCACTTTAATTTGTGCTATTAAACCACCCAATTTTAATTTAAATCAACTAGCTTTAACTTGTTTGAGTTCTATTCGAAATTAATTAATATGCCTATCAAAGCTAAGTGAAGAGTTAAAATTCAATCACAGTCAACATATTAACAAAAGTTTTTGAGAAAAAAATTAGTTTATTTTAATAAAAAAATCTATAGAATATGATTGAAAAATCAAAAATTGATATAAATTATGAATTTTATAAATAAATTGAATTTCTATAATTACATAATTAATATAAGTTATGGATCTTGT